AAGTCGCAAGAAAATAACACAACTAAAGGGTATGAATCCGGTGAAACCTAAGTGTTGTGATGTATACCACTTATAATGACATATATAAGGAGCGTACAGTGTAAGATCGCTGATGAAGGCAATTAGAGTTGATATTCAGTTGATAAAGATCCTGGAAGAAGAGACGAGAAATATTAGAAAGAAATGCAGAAGGTAAGAGAAGAAGCAACGAAACCTGAAGAAATATTCCCTTAGAATGCAAAATGCTGTTTGTATGGACTATGTTAAATGTAAGGCTTAAATATTTTAAAAGTATCAGTCATCATCATCGCACTCTTACGTGCCACAGTATAACTTATGTACTTAGACTGAAGAAGTGGGCTGGTTACCATTTACTGATCAAATTTATTGAATATGATAAGCGGTCAAATTATTCCAAATCAATGCGTTGAATATATATATATATATATATATATATATATATATATATACGAATGTGAAAATCGGTAGTTGGTAAAGCACAAAAAGGTTCAAAGTTCACATATTCAACTGACTCCATAATACATTAATTATTACAACCACAGTTGTTATAGAGTCACTAATCATTTGGTCGACCAATCAGAAAGTAATATCTGACCCTATCAAGGTAATCGGCAGAATACGATGAAATAAAACAAAACTTATCGAACTCATACGATGCATTTCTTATAAAATTATAGATTCGCTTACCCAATGGCAGACTAACTTTTTTCCCAGAGTAAACAATTTTATTGGACTGACTCTACTACACTGCTAAAATTCTACTCTCACATTAACTTGTTCTGGTTAGTCAATCGTTCAATATGAGATTCTGTGGACAGTCAATCTCCTGAACAACCCAACCGATAGCTGCTACCTTGACGTGGTGGTCGGGTTTGCAAATAACGACCCAAAGAGCTATTCTGATGGAACGCTCATTTCCTCGAGGTCCTGCTACGTCAGAAAGGTCTGTTGCATAGTGGTTAGATGAAAAGTAGTTACCGTTGTAGTGTTAACTACTATATTAGATGGGGATCTGAGGATGAAGCCGTTTTGCTGCTAGCTGCATAGGACGTGACAGCAGACAGGTATTCCCCTCGAATGACAAGCAGTGCCACGCAGATCCTACCTTCTCAACGGGAAGGGGAGTTAGTAAATGTCGGTACTAAAAATAACACATTCCCAACCACTCGCGGCACAGTCGAGGACGTCAAAGTCAGGATCGGAAAGGCAAGATAGGCGTTCATTAACCTGAAACCAGTGTGGAGATCTTCTGCACTGCACTCAGCATAAAGCGTGAACAAAAGCCGGATTTTCGACACCAACTCAGTCAAGTCAGTGCTCCTGTATAGTTCAGAGACTTGGCGCGTTACGAAAGGGATTTCCAACAAATTACAGATATTCATCAACAGCTGCCTACTCTGGCTCGTTACTGAAGATCAGATGGTCAGAATAATAAGAATAAGCAACAAGGAACTCTAGCAACGAACCAACCAAGAAGCTATCACACGACAAATATGCAGTGGAAGGAAGTGGAGATGGATGGGATTTGTACACACTGAGAAGACCGACTGGGGACATCACGCGCCATGCCAGGCCGTCGAGTGGAACCCAGATGGGAAGCGACGAGTTGGGCGTCCGAGGTGAGGGTGACATGGAGGCGATCGTGCGAAGAGGAAATGAGAGCTTGTGGGCTGTCGTGGAGCCAGGTTCAAAAGTTTGCAGAGAACAGAGCTCATTGGAGATGTGCTACTGAAGCCCTATGTTCCACTAGAAAAGAACCCAAGGGACAAATAATAATGATAATAATAACCACTCGCGGCATACCGATGCTTGCAACAGGGATTCAAAAGCAGAAGACTAAAATCTCAAAATTGCCAAAAGGCCGAATGTGACCGGTCTCAAGCAGATGTCCCATGGACCCTGCGGTCACACATGATGTTTTCTTTTTCACGTACCTCAAGAAAAGCTAGCCTTCCATAGTGCGAGCAGACGGGAAGTGTCAACTGCCTGCACGCTTCTAGTGGTACATGGATGTATGTTGTGTCTCAGAGACACGTATACAGGAACCGAGTGTGATTATTCACTTGGTCCGACCTAACCATAGTAGCAAATCTATAAAATTCACCTTAAGAGTATCCAAACACCCAATGGCTAGCTCTCATAGACTTGCTGGTGTAGGCATAGCGTTAAGTTACAGAGCCGAAAGCGCGCTTCTCAACCAGTAAACAGTCGTCTATGTGCAAGTCGACTGAATGGATCTGTAAGAACTAGGAAAGATTATGAGATAGACCGGAAGCCCATATGTAGTTTCCGCCGACGCACCACAGACTGCAGTTTGGATGGTGCAAAGGATGAATTCCACGAGAAGCTTTCAACTTTGCTAAGAGAAGCAAAACATTCAGATGTATTCATAATTGCAAGTGTCCTAATGGTCAAGTAGGGAAGCTGAAGCAATCAGAAAGGCATCTGAAAGGTATCGCCTGTTGCAATTCTGTTCCGACAATCACTTGTTTCTGAGCAGCACATAGGAGAAAAAGATACTGTCTCATATGGTGTCCACCAACATTAAACCAACGATGGACACAGATCAGATTGGCATAAGCCATAGTTGGAGAGGATCGCCGCTCTTTCTGGAGTACCAGTTTCAACTTCGACCACGCGCTGGTACGGCCTCGTATGTCTGCATCTTGCTGGTCGCAGGAAACAGGAGGCAGAGGGTCATGTGTGCTTGATTGGTAGATGACGACACCAAGCACAAAGCGTTTATCTGGACATGACACCAATGTTCATCCTGAGGAAACTTGAAGTTATACTAAGTCTGCTGTAGAAACAGTGGTAAAGACAGTTGTTAGCAGTTGTCATTGGATTTCCACGACGTCATCCGAACTGACTGATGAGAGAAGACTGATTCCAGCTGGCTCTGACCACAACGAAGAGCGAACGCAACCCAAAAGTAAGCTGACCAACGGTCTTCGCATCAACCGCTAGCAGCGGTGAGTGGAGAAAGCGAGAAAGATGGAGAGGGCATAACGGTTGGATAACACTCGCCAACTACTTAGGCTTATTAAGGATACCGGCAAGTAAACGATGGTTAGTGACACGATCACCGGAAACGATGGGACGCTGATAATCTTTCAGGACAGGTGGCTAGAACGTTGGGCAGTAACACATCGAAGCACAGTTCAACTGACCGACAGAAACGCTTCAGTTGCCCAGCATCTAGCCTAAATCTGAAGAAAACGTGGATGTCGGTCCTCCAACTCTCCTTGAAGTTGAGAAAGCAGTAACGAACCCGAAACGGTATACAGTGGCGGCAAATGACAGTTTGCCACCTGAAGTTTTCAAGGATGGATATAGGAAATCGCTAGTTACAGTGATGGAGGTACAACGTAATGCATGGAAACCAGAAGCAGTGCATCACACTGGTCTACTTCTCTGATCATCGCAGTCTATAAGAGGGGAGAGAAGTCGTCATGTGACAAGTATACAGGAGTTAGTTTGACTAATATCGTGTCCACAGTTATCCAGGCAGGTTTCAGACCTGGACGAGGGTGCATTGACCATATTTTCACCCTTCAACAGGTTCCAGAACACAGACATACTTCCCGTGGTCAATATTTGCAACAGTTTTATCCATGAAGTGTTGTGGCAGTGTATGCCTATGAAGGAAGTACCGATCAAGTGTATAAAGCTAATCAAATTTCTTTACTCGAACTCACGCAGCCGTGTCAAGGTTTATGGAGATTTGTGAACTGACGATAACTAGTGGTGTCTACCAGGGATGTACACTGTAACCGTTTCTATTTAACTTCGTCATAGACATGCTAATGAACACAACCCTATGCAAGTCTGACTTTACACGGATTGATCTACTTCCTGGAGGTCTTCTGGTTGACGTATAGTATGCAGACAATCTCATACTGCCAGGTGAAGACCCTGAAAAATTGCAGAATCTTGTGAACGCGTTGAGCAGAAATCGGAGTATATTTGGCATGCGTTTCACATCTGTCAAGTGTAAGATGATGCTCCAAGACTGGTCTGCTCCAAGTACTCCCAGTTTAATGATTTGGAGTGAAAAGGTGGAATTTGTCCACCATTTCACATACGTGGGGAGAAGCAGCAACTCGAACGAGCTGATTGCTGACGAAATCTCATCTCAGAGAGAGAAGAACAGCTTGGTACTTGAAAACCTGCATCATGTGTAACGCCGACTGACAAGATACCCAACTATCTATCAAAGGAGGAGTCTACTGAGCTGCAGTTCAGTCGGTCGCTTTGTACGGCTGTTAAGAGTAGATGACATGAGGTCGCGTTTGATGGCATCCTCGTAAGAGCAAAGTCGAAATCAGAAGGGTACTAGGCAAGACATGCAAGTCGATTCATGAAGTTGTGAACCTTAGTCGACTGAGATAGCTTAGACACGTACTGCACATGCTGAGCCACTGCTTACGTCAACGTGCAATACTGAGGGAAGTTGGGTTAGGTTGGAAGATGATCCAGCGTGGCCAGATCAAGTCCTGGCACCCGTCAATGAAGTCTCTTGCTGTTAGGTTTGAGTCGTTTTAGGAGACATGGACTGCCCGGTTAAGGTCACCGAGATGACACCAATCAGTGGTTGAGGACTGATTCTTGATACAAAAAGGGGGAAAATCAATCACAAAAAGTGCACTCATGTTCACTCCTCAACACCTTCAAAAGATTGAATTGTCGCACTTACCTTGATCTTCAGACTGTTTATTATCTCACACTACTTTATCTTCTTTGATATCAATCCTTTCACATACACCCGTTCCTTGGGTACTACTGTGAGTTGTGACAACTCGAACCGATGCACCTGTGTCCCACTCTCCACATTGATTTCCTCAGTCAATCTCAATATCAGTTACTAAGCAGTACAACTGACGATTGGTAACATAATTATACAAGTCTACATGGAATAAATATCTCCAATATCAATAAAGTTTCCATAATGATTACAACCATTAACAAGGAATACTCACCTTGCACAATATTTTCATTCAACACATCAATTCGATCATATCTGTGACTGAAATGTGTGAGAACTAATTGGCGAACATTGAGTTGACTAGCCAACTTCGCCACAACACCTGGAACAGAGTGACCTTTACTTATGGCATCATCATACAGGTTATCGTCAAGAGTAGCTTCATGCACAAGAGTATCAAGAATTATGGAGGCGATTTGATTTTTAGCCTGTAAAACCTGCATAAGACGTAACAGTTCAGAAGAGTCGTAAGTGTCACCCATAATGGCGACACGATGACCCCGTAGTGGAGATTTCAACACCTCATCAGGATGAATTGTTTTACCATCCACAACGACTGTTTTACCCTAAAAAGGAAAAAATGTTCAAGGAAATGCACAGTAACATCAGCTGCTTACCAATGGTGATAGAAGTTGAAATTTTGCAATACTTTTTCTAAAGAAACTTTAGCATAAAATAAGAAACTAGTAATAATGTTGTGCAACTACTTGCATAATAACAGTGATAATAACTTGTTTTCAGGTTAGTAATGGTGATTTTGTTTCCCGATGGTGGTCACCACAAACTGAAATCAATTGAAGAACCATTGGAAATATGGTAAGTGTATCGTCCTAGTATGTGGATTCAACCAAGAATAAGTGAAGTGGATGTCAACTGGAGACCTGAGTGAATAGTCACACTTCATCGCGAATTGACAGGTATAGGGAACTGCAAATCATTGAACTCCGACACAGTAGTTGAACATTTGGCACGTTTGCCACGGGACCTAGGATCCTAAGTTCAATCACTTACAGGGTTGTGAGTGCATACTACCGAGAAGTCTCACACTAGGAATAAACAGCTATTCAGTGCTTCCATGGTTTTCAATGATTCGCCAGCCTATGTGATATTCATGATGAATACTACTAGATATATTACATACCTCTCGCATACCTTCCGCAACTCCAGACTCCTAACGCATGAATTTGAGAAGACAATCAGGCCGAGTTGAGTAGTTTCATTTACATATCACCTTTTATGAGGAAGGTAGGATAAAACAGACTGAACGAAATAACATCATCAGTGGTCGACAGAAATCGGTCACAACTTCGGAATAGATAACACAAAATAGACTACTCTCCAATGATCGTCTAATGCATTATCACATTCTACTTCATCGGGTACTTATCAGTTGCCTACAACCAATCATATTTCAGAATCAAATTGCAGTAGACAATGAACATGTTTAAAATATAGGTGTATGCTATTCTGTTCAATTTGTTGATCTCATTCTTGTCAAATGAGTTAAAATACACATTTATTACTCAGATTATCAGATTATTTAACATTGTAATAATGTGTTAGACGATTTGAACGCGAATACTACTACTGCGAAACTTCACCGTGAGACTGACAAAGAACATAGTAAGAAAAGAATCAGTATTTCAGTGGAGAGTCCCTTTTCGCCGATTTCATTTTCAATGCTGTACAGTCACAAATTTATACATTTATTTTATCTACAGGTTGGTAGTTGAGAGGGATTTATGAAACATGGTAATAGAAATAATGTCAATATATGAGTTTTCATTAAAGGCAGAAGTTGGGATTAATGGTGAAGATTAATCGAAATATGACTGAAATTGCATAAACATTATTAGTTTTGGATATGTTTCAGAGCATAAGGTGCCCGAAATCCACAAACTGGCCCTAGATATATCTAGATTTCCTCATTATTCAGTCGCAAAATGGTTCGCCGAGATCCTAGAGCCTGTAAGAAGACGAACCACCTTCAGATATGGATGTGATGCCTTTGAATCTGCCAACTGTATAAGAGATATAAATGTATGATATCACTTGGTATCGACCCGCTTTACACCAATGTTCTGCCTACTGAAATTGTCTCTTTTTGATGCAGATACAAAGAAGATAACTTGACTGTTGGAATACTCACCCTGCCCCTTGTAATTTAGGAAATTATTAATTAGATTCACATTTAATTCAAACTTAACTTGATTTATAGACAGAAAGACTGAATAGGCATAGGATCCGCACTGGGGTTCAATACTAACAGACTGTTTTATGAACAGTTTGGAGAACGGAGTTTTGAAATTAATGCCCGAAGGTTTCCTACTTTATAAAAGGTACGAGAACGTTACTTTTATTATCTCTCATAATCACTCTGATATGCGTCACATTCTACAAGTATTCAGTAGCCACCAATCAGGAATCGGGTTCACTCTTGGGCTTGAAAATAGATCGAAGATTCACTTTCTTGATGTAGAGCTGACAAGAATAGCTGGTGGAACGTTAGGGTCAACTTACAGAATATCAATATAGTATGTTTAGTTGAAAAACTTTTAAGCCTGATTTTCTATGAGTGGCAAACGAAACTTAATCCTATCTCCTGTCCGTCACATCAGACGAATCTGCAGTCCCCACGTATTGGAAGAGGTAATTTCTCTTCTAAGCAATATTCTGATTGAAAATGGATTCCCACCAAGCCTTATCGAGAAAAATATTAAGTATACCGGTTCTAGCACTCGGTTGGGCTAGCTTGACAAAATAACGAGGAAATATACTCAGTCCCTTCACTATCACTGGATAACTCCAATCGTTTCACAGACGAAATATATCCATCTGTTCATGAATAAGAAGAACAAGATATGCAGCAGAGAATAAATATTCCTGATTTAAAGGTAGTATTCATTATAGACTGACATCAGTTGGGGAAGCATTGAAGATCTGGGAGCACTGGATAGATGTTTCGTCCTAGTATGGAACTCCTTGGTAGTACGTACCCACGACCCGGGTGGGGGTCGAACTCACGACCTTCAGGTTTCACGTCGAACGCGTTAACCATTCAGACACTGGGTCGGAGTTCAGTGGTTCACAACTTCCAACTCCTATCAATTCACGATAGAGCGCTACCATCACCCAAAGTCTTCAGTTGGCATCCGCTTCACTTCCGACTGGTTGATCCCATAGGTCACGGCTTCTCATTACAGCTTCGTGATATCCATTTGGAAACAGGTCACCAACGAGCACTATACAGTAATGTATTTTGAGATGAGCAGGGATTTTAATTTAGAGATAATATTCATCATGGACTGGCATCAGTTCATGATGAATACTACCTTGAAATTAAAAATCCCCATTCATCTCAAAATTCAACAAATATTTCTTTTTATACCGATTTGCGCTTTTAATGTTGACTTATATATTTATGCTGGATGATGATTATAGGTGAAATGAAAACTTGGACCGCGGCTGGATTCGAACCAGCGACCACCGGGTTTCCGATCCGATGCTCTACCAAATGAGCTACGAGGTCCAACTATTTTTATTGCCATGTTTGACAAACCCCTTTCAACTACCAAACCTATAGATAGAATAAATGTGTAAATTTGCGATTGTACAGCGTTGAGAATGAAATTGGCGAAAAGGGACTCTCCACTGAAATACTTTTTCTTCTTTCTTGTCCTGATGGATACCTTTAGAACACTGAAAACACAGTAACTTGGCGTTTGATTTTTGATAACATCGATATGATACCTGAATTACTAGTTTACAACTGACTCACCAACAGACAACACAGAGTGAAGTTAGCGGTGTCTCAACCTAGGAATACATTGGTTTTCATAAAACTTTATATCGTTAGTTTCATGTGGATATACATGCACCCGAGCGTCGCTTCAAGTCAGAAGATGATTATATATTTACGCATAAATAATGTAAATGATAAACTCACATCCCAGGTTTCTTAATAGCAAACACATAACAAATTAAATGACAAGATCAACATGGATGGTGATAAACTTATTACGCTGACCAACCAGACAACGGTAAACATCGCAAAACAACATAGCCAGAAGAAAATAGGGTTGATGTATTAAACACAAATTACTTATGAGTAGTAATATAAACAATATTAAATAAATATCACACCGGTACCGAAAGAAGCGAATTGCTAATGAGAATAGATGTTTAGAAAAGGTGAGATTAAATTTTTCTGCGTTTTTTAAAATGATTCGGATAAATTAAAGTATTGACGAATCCAGGAGAGAAGTGTACAATCTCAAACTAATTAATTTACTAAACATATAACATTTCATAACACTAAATTGATTTTTAAAAAATGTAAATTACTCGTTTTAATTCACCCATTAATCTTCCTTTAGGAACACCCAACTTCATAGCTGTATCAGCACATAATGAGGGCAATTGAGATGGTTTTATGATTAGCCACCCCAGTGAAGGAATTGTATGCTTTATAGACATTGCATGGACAAGCACCCCTTTATTCTCTTCACCATCCATAATATTATACCAAAATCCTACAGAGAAATCACATGAGGAAGTAATAAGCGATACAGAATAAGACTGGGAGACAAGCTGTCACAAAATAATGTAGATTAAAATAGATTCAACCATATATATATATATATATATATATATATATATATATATATATATATATATATATATATATATATATATATATAGTACTTAATGTGTACGTGACAACCTTTTTACAATGTACAGCCGACAAGATACAACCGTAACTCGGTCTACAACCTCGCCCGAAGAGTCAAAATATATCAACAGAGTTCGGTCTAAAGCAAATAAATAGATTTCGTTTCCAAGGCTCCATGTGAGAAACTGGCCACCCATCGAGACAATCAGGATACAGTTACGTAACTATGCTACCAAATAGTAATGGACACTAAAGACGCAAGTTACCATGACATTTTGACCTCATTTTATTGGTCCATAAACCCAGTGAACACTCAGCCAACATGAATCGCTTACTTTTCAGTTGATGAGGTGCACGTCATGTTGCGTCAGGTGTGTGCTTATAATTTGCACTAGCAACCACTGAGCAGGCAATTGTGCCAATATTAAAAGAGGCCAGGATAAACCTCTAATTATGATGGAATACAGACGCGTATACCTGAATAAAATAATGATAACTATCCCCTAGTTAGAGGATATTTAGCCATGAGAAAAAAATAGTAGAGTTGTAGACGTAAATTCCAGAATGCCGTTAGCATTCAGGTAATTAATCACTCCATCTAACCCAGTCTTACAGAAGGGGAATAGCCGTCCGAACAGCTTACTAGTAACTTCGCTGGTTATAACATTGGGTGACGCAGGTTCGAATCTCAAAGGGGATACGGGCACCTTCGAAGTTGCAGGCATGCCTTGCTGACGAGTGCTAACAGGCACGAAACCTGGATCAAGCCGGGCTTTCTGCCCATTACTTCAAACCAACTAACAGACGTAGGTTATATCAAGATGAAGTACTAAGATTTGGAGAATACTTCACATCAATAATGGCATTCTGCAACTTGTACCAAGGAACTCGATCAGACCTTAGTAATGGTTGCAACTGAGTGTGAACAACTCGACGGAAACAGAGATGAACATAGGAAGTTGCTGAAAATCCTTAGCTTACAGATGAAGAACACAACCATTCGCATTAATATACATCGCAAATTCAATCTTATAAAACTTTATACGTATATGTAGGAAAACAACTCTATGCTCGAGTGGAAAAGGAAGACCACTCCCTTTAGAAGTTGTTTCAATGGTGCCATATTACATTTCACGTACTGGTTGAAGTGAATTTCAAACACTTAGTGACTTAATCCTATTCTCACTACTGAAGGCTAAATAACTGATTAGTATCATCATCTAGCGTAGAATAAGTGTGACTTCTGTTGCAACCAAGAGTGGGTTCATGTAGCATGTTGCGAATTACGTCTATTATGTTCAAACCAAGGAAACTATCCACTTCTAATACAGAATGGACTTATAATTGAGATTTAGTACTTGTAAATCAAGTGTTTCTAGTGCGCTATTAAAACCTTGCAAAACTAATTACAAACTGATAAGCAAACGCAAGTTTGTGAGGACAAACTAGGCTTAGCAACAGAAGCAATTTAACTGACTGACTGACAAAATCAATGTAGAACATTGTACGCAGAAGAGTGCCTCTCCTAAAGTTGCCACGCTTTACAGTAGTACACAAAGAACAGGTGGAGAGAAAAGGAGTGATATCAAAGAAGATTAGGCAGTATGAGAGAATAAACAATCTGAAGATAAAGGTTAGTGAGAATACTCAAGCTTTCGAAGATGTCAAGGAGTGAATATATGTGCACCATCATGACCGATTTTCAACCATGTCATCAAAAGTCAGTCCTTAACTATTGATTTATTTAATCTCGGGGACCCCAATAAGGCAGTCTAAATCTCCCCACATAACTCAGACTAACAGTGAGACTTCATTGACAGGTGCCAGGACTTGGTCTGGCCACGCTGGATCATCTTCCAACCTAACCCAACTTCGCACAGCATGGCACGTTGACGTAGCCAGTGGCTCAGCATGTCCATTACATGTTTAAGCTACCTCAGTCGACTAAGGCTCACAACCTTATCAATCGACTTGTTTGTCTGACCTAGTAACCTTCGCCTGATTTCAACACTGTTCACACGGTAATTCCACTAAGTGCGAGCGATGCTGCGAAGACACCTATGATCAAACATCTGTAACTGCTTCATGTCTTATACCTTTAAGGCCTGTCTCACATCTGTACAAAAGAACAGAACAAACTGCAGCGCAGTATACTTGTCCTTTGATAGATGATCAGATATCTCCCCGGCGCTACAGGTGACGCAAGCTGGAAGAGGCCAAACTAGTCTTCTGTATCCCAGCTGAGATTTCGTCAGCAACCAACCCGTACCGGCTGATGCAACTTCCTAAGTAAGTGAAGTGGTAGACACATTTCACTTCACTTTATATAGGAATGTGTTATATATATATATATATATATATATATATATATATATATATATATATATATATATATATATATATATATATATAGGATAATGTGAAATTTATTGACAGTAAAATATTACCATCATCATTCACGCAGATATCTCGACCAGGACGTTCACAGCTTAAAGGTGGATCTCGAGTTACATCGGCTTCTAGACAAGCCCACTCATGCCAATTTGAGGGACAATGTTTTTCTTCAAAAATCAATTCATGAACAGCGTATGTATAACTCAAATTCGCTCTAAAGAACAAAAAACAAGTAAAATATCTAAGTTTACAATTTTTAGTATAAATCCATGGAATATTGAGCAACACAGAATAGAATTTTGGCAAAACAATATTGATGTTACATTGTACTTTTAAAAGGAATTGAAATTGAAATCCTCTTAGCAACCTTGTACACATTCGCTCAGTGAGCAATGAGCGATACCTGTTGTGTGAGGTCTAATGATGCTACCTGGCTCCCCAAACCTAGGTAAATGGAGTGGTGTATAAACCAAAGTCTAAACCAATAAGCCACAGCTCCACTTTCGAAAAGACAACTTTACAAACATGGAATTGTATAATTCATCATTACTTCACATGACCACCGAAATTAACGATGAAGAAAGGTGTATCACTACATTTCTGTAGATTAGTGGCGAGTTGTATAAGCTTCGAATTTGACGTTTTAAGACGGTATGCACTAAAAGTAATGGCAAGATGTATAAGCAGCATTTCGCGGTCTTAATAATTGGACAGAAAATGACTGGACACAAAAATCAACATTTTAACTTTTAAGGTACCAAGGTAGAAGTTCCTCGGCTTCAATTTTGCTCTATGCAATTGCGTGGTCACGATGAACTAAGTGAGTTCGCTGGTTTCTCGTGGATCACTGAGAACAAAGAATCAAGTTTTCCGTCGAATATATATATATATATATATATATATACATATATATGCATATATATATATATATATATATATATATATATATATATATATATATATATATATATATAGATTATGATTTGTCCCTTGGGTTCCTAATGGAACATACGGCTTCAGTAGAACGTCTCCAGTGCAATCTCTTCTCTGAAATCTTTTGAACCTAGATCCACGACTTCCAACAAGCTTTCATTTATTCCTCACACGATCTCCTCCATATCACCCTCAGCTGCGACGCTCAACTCGTCGTTTCCCATCTGGGTTCCACTCGAGGGGCTTCTCAGGGTATGCCCAATCCAACTCCACTTCCTTCCGCATATCTGTTGAGCGATAGCTTCTTGGTTGGTTCGTTGCTAGAGTTCCTTGTTGCTTATTCTCACCATTCTGGCCATCTGATCTTCAGTAACGAGCCAGAGTAGGCAGTTGTTGATGAATATCTGTAGTCTGCTGGAAATCCCTTTCGTAACGCGCCAAGTCTCTGAACTATACAGGAGCACTGACTTGACTGAGTTGGTGTTGAAAATCCGGATCTTGTTCTACATGCTGATTTCAGATCACACTCGTTTCAGGTTAATGAACGCCTGTCCTGCTTTTCCGATCCTGGCCGCTTTGACGTCCTCATCTGTGCTGCCTGTAGTTGAAACAGTGCTGCCTAAATAGGTGAAAGAGACTACTTCCTTCAAGTCTCCCCCGGTTATAGTAATTGGAGCTGGTTGTTGTTGGTAGTGGTGGCGTTGGTTGGGTATCAACATCACTTCTGTCTACTCTACGTTCACTTGAAGTTCCGTCTTAGCTGTCTCGCCTCTTCTGTCAACTTGTCAGTTTTTGTCTGTAGATCTTTGAGTTTGTGTGACAAGATATCAGACACAAGTCATCGGCGAAATCCAAATATCCTAGGTTCTTTTCATCGGTCCTGCTAGCGTATCCCCCCCTTCTCACAGCTCCTTACTGTTTGTTGCATGATCCAGTCTAGTCCACTACAATCACGAAGATCATCGGTGATAGTAGACAGACTTGTTTCACTCATGTCTTCACTTCAAAAGCATCACTGAGCTTCCCATTGTCAATTACTTCGCTGGCATATGGCGACTTCATATAGTTGTTGAATGAGGTTGATAAAAGTTTGTGGTATTCCACAGTGTTGAAGCAACTGCCTGTCAAATTACTTCTCGGTCGACGCTATCGAAGGCCTTTTCAAAGTCGATGAAGTTGAGGTAGAGAGTTGACTGTCATTCTATACTCCGTTCTATGATGATGCGGAGCGTAGCGTTGCAATTTGGTCCGCACATGGTTTGTACTCCCTGAATCCAGCGCATCCTCTAGTCTCTCCAGGATGATGCGGCTTAATACATTGCTTGCAATGGGTGGACAGAAGGATGACTCCTCGCCAGTTCTTGCAGTGACTTAGGTAGCCCTTCTTCCAGTCGCCAGAAATCTTTCCTTCCTTCCAGGCCTTCTGCAATAGTGGTGTGGTGTCAGCATGTCCGCTGTTGTCCCTGCATCTGCTCTCAGTGCTTTTGGCGGGATTCCATCTGGTCCTGCTGCTTTCCCGCATTCCACTAGCTTTATGGACATCAGGACTTCGAATTTAGTCGGAGGGGTTGTGTTCACTGGTAGTTCTGTGGCGGGGCTGCAGCTGGTATTTCTGGACGAGTTGCGGGTAGTGGTAGATTCAGGAGTTTTTCGAAGTGGTCGGCCCATTGTTTTCTTTGTTTCTCTCACTTGGTAACTAAGTTTCCTTCACTATCTTTCATCGGTTTCATCTGCGTTGATCTCTTCTCTTCCAGACAGTAACCTGGTTATTTGATACAATGTTGTCAGGTCTCTCCTACTAGCAGCCTATTCCGCTTCACTTGCCAGTGTCGTAGAAGTGTCTTTTGTCTTTGCGCGCACTCTTCTTCACTTCCTTGTCCAGCGTAGTGTTTTATACGTTGCACTCAGATCCTCTTCTCGTTGTTCATCCTTGCACTGGTTTATCTTCTACTTCACCATCCTCCTCTCCCTCCTCTGTCAGCTTCCATGTGCCCGTCGAGATGCATTCCTTGTCTTCTTTCTTCTTACTTCCTAATACGGCTATGCAGATTTCTTTGCACATAGCTTTCAAAGAGTTCCAGTGCTCATCCACACAGGTTTCTTCAAGGATGTTCCTCGATATCTCCCATTTTGTCTTGATGGCTGATGTGAAGATTTCTTTTGTAATTTCATCCTTCAGTTTCCGAGTGTTGAACTTGAACTGTGGACGTCTATCACCAACTTACTTGAAGGCTTTCAACTTGATTTGGAAGGCAGGTTCATTGCACTTTGCACTAGGTAGTGGTCTGAGCCTACATCTGCTCCCCTTCTTCATCTCATCTTGTGTCAAGTAGGCTGCATCTCCACCTTTTCGAAATTGAGATGAAGTCGAACTGATTTTTAGCGTGTCCATCTGGTGAAATTCATATCGCTTTGTGGATATCCATGTGCTTGAACGCAGTGTCTCGAATCACCAAATAGTTGAATGCGCAGAATTCTGTGAACAATTCTCCATTCTCGTTCATCACCTCACCGAGCGCTTCTCGACCCATGGTTAGTTCTCCTCCTGTGTTGTCCGCTCCCAGTTTGGCATCCATGTCACCTCATCCATTAGAATTTTGATGTCGCCAACTGGAGTGGGACCTTGTCCAGTGCAAAATTGCAGTTGTCTGTACAATTCCTCCCTCCTCTCTTGATCTGCATTATTTGTAGGTGCGTAGCATTGTACGATTGTGACTTTCCTTCCTTTTGAGATGAACCTTGCTGTCATTATCGTGATCGTTGAAGAGATTGGTTGCCACTGCATGAGAGCCTTCGACGCTGTTGGAGACATCATGATAGCCACTCACTCCGTGTGCTCGTGGTTGTCCCCTGGGTGACCGGAGTAGATTATTGATTCTCCAGTTGATAGTTTGGAGAGTCCACTTCCATTCCATCTGCTTTTGCAGGTTCCTAGAACTTCAATGCGATACCTCCTCATCTCCCTTGCAATCTGGGCTGCCTCGCTAGGTTCAAACATGGTGCGGACATTCCATGTCCCCACGTTCACTTTCGCTTTCATCGAGAGAAGACACATCGGTCAATCGGCTTCCCGAAGGCTTTCACCAACTGGCGTCATTTCGCCTCTCCGATTCCAGTGAGGAATAATGTTGTTTTTATTTTTTATTTGTGCTTTGAAGTTTCTTTAGCGGTTGGATTTGTTTTCCCGGGGTAGGGTTGCTAGCCCTATGCCCAACCTTCCCTCTTTACCCGGGCTTAGGACCGGCTAGTAACTAGTGAACTCGTTAACCAGGTGAGGTTATATATATATATATATATATATATATATATATATATATATATATATATATATATGTATGTATATATATATATGATACTTTCACCTTATAAAGATCATCTTCGCTATCGAAAGCCAGCTTTCATTTTCCGATATTTTGCTGTTCAGTGAAGTATAAGAAACTAGGAGGAGCATCATCATCAATATTACATAGGATCAGGCATTACTGCGAAACGCGCCAAGTTGCCACACCTTATATCAGCCCAACAAGTAACAAGACAATAAGATGCAAGATGAAGAAACAAAGAAGAATCAGTCAAAAGTAGTAGAAAGCAATAAAAAAGAAGGAAGAAATAGAAAATGCTGGGTTTGACGTAGCGATTAAGATGATGTGGGTACATTTGTGCCACTGACATCGATTCTGAGCCATGTCACCTAAGGTTTCCAACCACTGGTTTCTACTGTTACATGGACCCCAACTGGCTAGTCTGCGTTTCCGTACATGGCCCAGACCAACAGTCAACGTCTTCAGGCACTGATGCCATGTTTTAATCTGACCACCCCAAGCCTCTATCCAGCCTCAACCTACTTTAGCCAACAGTGAGTGACGAGGCAGATGGTGACTATACATGCGCAACGCATGTCCCAGCCACCTGAGTCGATGAAGTTTCACAACCGCATAAACGAAGTTACCTCTCGTCCCTAAGACTCTACACTTCACCTCCATACTAACCACATGGTGAGACCACGACACACGGTCCATGCTACGAAGGCAACGGTGGCCAAACATCTGAAGCCTTCCCATTTTCTCTACCTTCAATGGCCATGTTTCACAGCAACATGAGAGAATACAGCAAAACTGTAACACAGTACAATCGGCTCTTAATAGACAGTCGGATATCGTGGTGGCATCACAGACCGGGTGAGTTGATGAAAACCAGTCAAACCTTTTGTATCTATGCAGAGGTTTTGTCGGTCAATCACCTACTGGGGCTGATCCGACCTCCTAAGTAAGTGAAGTGTTCAACGCACTTAGCCACCTTTTTCTCTAATGTTAGGAGCAGTCATTATTTGTACACAGTTTTCATATATTGAAACCTAGTATTATTGTTTGATTACCTATTTATAAATATTAAACAGTGACTGCTAAGAACCAGAAAAATTTACAGAAAACTGACTTATGAACCACTTATCAGGAGCCCATGTTTCAGCTTTGGTTGGACATGCACAGGTAAAAGATGAAGTTTCAAAATGCTGTATGTCAGTGCTCGGTAGTTATTTTGAAACCTTAGTTAAACGATTATTTATTTAAAAGAGATTATCTACATGCCTCATTACTTAGCACTACGTAACTTTTGTTTCCTAGGTTTTGACCTATAATGAATGTCTAGATACCTGCAGTGCCATGCTGCTCTCATTATTTTTATCATCATGAGGATAAAAATAGAAGTTATTATTATCCGGATAGTTACCATTTGCATGTTCCACTATCTTGTTACCATAATCTAAAGAAATTACAGTGAACCGCTTGTTTTATAAGAAATAATTATGTATATTAGAGTAAAGCCTGAAAAGATAGAAATGAAAGCAATATTGTTCGCTTACATGTATTGCTCTAATACAATCTACACTCTCAATTATATAAATTACACCATGCACAGATTTTGTCATTTGTCATTTTAGGCAAGGGTAAAGGATTACTTTCTGAAAATCATGGTTTCTCGTGACGACAAGAACTTTTCTAATAAATGGAAAATAACTATTTAAACATAATTTGATATCCGTAACTGCCTAAGATTCAGTGAGTGCGACAACTAATGAATACCATGACGAATTAATAAGAAATTCCATCGTGGTTAATAAGACAGTTGTAAGAAAACACAATTTGTTAGGAAAAACCCTCATTGAGGCCCTTTTTGTCTTATGTAGTAGCTTCTTAACTAGTTAAAATGGAGTGGCTTCCAAGCCTACAACCCAACGGTTGATGATCGAATGCCTGGACAATAGACCCGACTGTTTAGTTGGAATAAAAACAACCATACTAACAACTCACCTTGATAGTGCAAGCGCCAGTCGAATAAACCTTCGAAGCCCTTTTGGTCCATATATATTGAGGGATGCATCAAAAGTTTGTGCATTTCCATCTTCTACAATAATATCACCAGCTTTTCCTCTTTGATCAATTGTACATAAAAGTCCTGGAAGACCAAACATATGATCTCCATGGAGATGTGAAATGAAAATGGATTTTATTTTTCCCAAATGAACGAAAGATGACTTTTGTGCCTGTATTTGCACACCTTCACCACAATCAAATAGCCATTGTGAACCAAAACACAAGTCACGCAATACTACTCCGGAAGCTCCTCGATGAGGAGACGGATACCCAGATGCGGTACCCAAGAAAACCAACTCCTAAAATTTTAACACAACATAAATTCATGACATTCTCAGCTGCAGACAAAACTCTTCATAGCTACAAGGGATTGCGTATTTCTAACAAAACACTGCTGACATTTTTTAGGAATATATGTAGAACTACCGACAAAAATACTCATGAGAAATGCAGAAAACAACATGTATGTACACAACCAAATGCTGAGAAATACCAACAATCCATCCTTTTGTCAATTTTTGTTTTTGATCAACCAGCGCGACAGAAAATCAATGGGTGTACAGTCTTTAGATGGGAAGTGGGGTCGTACGTAATTAAATATAAAGCGAAACAGAAGTTTCTCCAACTGTGTAGCGACAAAGTTAGCATAATTCAAAATGAATACATCACCATTCATTTAAACCATTTTACACAAAACATTTAGTTTTGCAATCAAAATGTACATAGAAACCCCGAGCCGTAGGCAATGACCCTCGCCTATTACGTAAAGCCTAATGGCACTATAGCCATACCCCGATAGGTAGAGAGTAGTTGGGATCCGTGACTCATTGGTTGAAAGCGAACTCCTCAAACCAGTAAGGCACAGCTCTACAGCTGGACGTATGTGGATCAGGTCTTTATCCTCACACCCACCGCTTGAAACCCTGTTGTGTTAGTCGATGAACTACATCTTGTTATAAAATATCTACAAGCTATCGCACCCAAGTAAACTATCTTAAATGAATACTTATCAGTCACAAATATAGTATGCGGGCGTACATAAGTGGACTGACACATTCAGCGACAACTCTATTTTATGATCAGTAATTGAAAAAATGAATTCAGCATCAGAGACGGCTAGGTTTAACTGTGTAAAGTTTTGCATGACGGTATCGATCGTCCAATAATCAGCATTTTAAAACTTCTTGACAGAAAGTTTGCGAGTTCGTGGGTTGTCAGTGAGAATACTTTCTAAATTTCACCTATCATCTTGGCTGTAGTCACGCCTGCATATGGGACTTACAGAAAAATATAATGTTTGAAGACGAACTGGGGAAAATATCAGTTGTCAAGTTGTGAAATCAGATGCAGATATTGTCGCAGTGCGAAGCCTGACTATTTTGGTGGTATCATAGTAATTATTTCCCAAAAGTACTTCCTGTCCCCTTTTGATAAAGGGGTTGGAAACGGTCAACTGAAATAAACAAAATACCTTGCTTCTGTGAGCCCCATCGCAATCTATAGGGTAGATTTGAATTATGGTTAAAATCGTATAACAAACTATACCCATAATGTCAAACCAGTAATACAAGTCATCTTAACCCCTTTTTCATACCTCGTGATCAAACCAATTGCTGATTGCTCTTAAAAGTGGTGGCACATCGAACAATGTAGACATTAAAAGCAGGTAGTTTTATGCTATCTATGATTCTCACTGATATAATCTGTAAACATGGCTCCCACGTTTTTAGCAAAAGAAGTCTGTTACAATAAGACTAAAATAATGTGATCCAATCTTCTTAACCTATCTATACTTACATTTTCATATATTGTTTCTTTTGCCTTCAAACTTCATCTCTTAAACTGAGGACAGTGACTTGATCACAAAAGGTTACAACTTTAGGTATCTTAAAAGCACACTCTAAACCAGTATAAGGAATACAATTATTATCCAACTTAACAAAAGGTCAAGCTTTCATGTTCTGTCCCACATCATTTATCATTATGTACTAATAATTTGCTCCTGGAAGATTGAGCGAGTGCGTATGAAACTAAGTCTTTCTCAGGGGGTTTCTTGTCAATAAATAACTTTTTGATTCATTGTTCAGTCCCTACCCCAAACCAAAGTTAGAAAATTGTCTGAACCCGTGATTCCCTGCTTGAGAAGACTTTAGTATGCTTAGCATGCATTTTTCACCAGCGAATCCAAGATGGTGCTTCCAGATTGATCTTCACTGACACCTAGCTCAAAGAAAGTGCTGTAATATGTTTATCACTTCACTTACTTGATAAGTTGCATTCACCTTAATGGGCGGCTGCTGGCAAATTCTGAGCTCGATTACAAAGAGTATATGCCAACTGACGCCGGTGATGTGCCCAACTACATATTACGAGGCGAACATATCGATAGTTAGTGAGTCGTTTATTGACAGGAGTTGCCTGATGCAATTCTGAGATGGCGAAAACCAGTGGTTGGAAATTGTTGTTGATAAGGTGAAAATTGGTCACAAAGGTGCAGATATGTGAATCCCACCCTCTTAGGAATTTCTAGCATTTTACCCAACCTTCACTAATTTATTACCCGTTCTCATACATTTTGTCTACTTTGTAATCATTTTTTTCCATCTTCTTCAGATTTTGTCATGAAGTGATATATATTCTGTTAGGTTCTACGTTAACCTTCAGTGATTGGAAACTATCGGAGATATCTAAACCACTGCATGATAAAAGCGTTGAGCAAAAAAGAGTAATTAGTGTTCCTAAATAACTCACTACTCCAAGTTTATATCCGCCTCTTAGATGTATTATTATTATTACTACATCTTTACGTACTAGAATTCGAGTCAAACGTGATAAGTGAGAGGTCACGATATTTCAAAGATACCAAGGCTGATGTGCACCGAGCAGGATATGAACCTGGGAATCACTCCGCGTAAGCCGAGTGCTGAAGCTAATCAACCACTTCACATATGCAACGTCTTCACCTTAAAGACTTGAGTTTGAAAGTCACAATGACAACTATTTCGGGAAAACTGCTTTTATTACTATTATTTGAGCCCCACTAACTACATGACATTGTTAGTATCTTCTGGGATAACAAACCACTCAATGATAGTGGTAAGCGTAACTACCAATTCAGACAAGCCCTTCGTTACGACTGTGTACTACAACTGTTCTAGCGGTAGGTGACTGGTGTTTGCGCTCGAATTCCGACCAGTAAATAATGAGTTCAATCTACACTTCATCTTTCGAGGTGAGGGTAGAAAGATAATATCATCAATGCTCATGTAATTCGTGGTTCAATAGCTACTTAAATTCTTCAGAAAAATTGACTTCAGGTAGAATGTTTTTAGGCAATAGCTGAAGACACAGTCTCAAAAACAACAAGCTACTCAAAACGGATTTTTAAAAGGCGTTTATGGTAATTGTAAGAAATATGTAGTGGCATGGTTGTATTCGTCCTTAGTATGTATCACTGGAGAGTTCGTTTTTATTTAAGAGGCTTTGAGGGATGATGTGAACCAATGGTGAGGACGAAAAAGCCAATGAAGAGATAATAAAGCGTCCAATATTATCTTACTTGTTAGCAATTCCGTGAAAACCACACTACAAACACCACAGAATATACAAAAGACGATACTTTCTATTCTCCAAGTACAGAATTAAAAAAAGAGGAATGAACTGATTGGTATGAACGGAATTTTATGTCAGTTCCTGGAAAACTTGGAAATATGAAATCTCATACTACTGTTTAAAAATATTCACATAGTAAACGACGCTAAGACTGTTAGTAGACAATAATGGAGGTGACAAAGCCAAGAAAACAGAATACGTCAACACTTTTGAAGAAACAGCAACTAAAGTTGATCTGAGTGTTTCAATGGACCAAATGAGGTGCTTTCGGCGACTAAGCACATAACGTACCAGAATCTGCTTAGAGAATTTCCAACAGTTTCGCTTGTGATGTTTGCACCCCGTCAGATAAATACAAACTGTATTCTTTACTATTTTATCTGTACAATTTAATGAATCTACATTTGCAGACTGCGATAAGGGTAACGTGAATGATTCATGAAAGTTCTATTAGTGACGGGTATTTTGCACCAACTTCTTTACGCTCTCTATGTCTGTGCTAACAAGAATATGGAATGTTATGGTACAATGGGGCTGAGATAATAGAATGCAACAGTCAGACAAAATTTATTGGACATGATAGTGTACAGCTGATATCAACAACTTCACTAAGTATTTATTTTGTTTTCAGGTTTGTGTTTAGCCACAACTCCCTCCTTTTGTAACTCGTCTTTAGCTAAAGACAGAAGTTCCTCTGCAGACACGTCTGGGTAGAGTTCTCTCAAGTCATTGCACTTGCTCAAAAGCCTAAGTAATATGATATGTCAACTTCAGATACTTATACAACGTCGATCGATTATCCGTCATTTTGAACATATTCAAAAGTTCCATCTTGTATGAACTCCTGCTAAAAGCTCTAGCAAATTTCTATTTAACATTATAACTACTGTAATTACGCTCTCTCACAATCTTCGGGATATAGAATATTTTGAACAGTATTTGTAGGGCAGGGTCGACCATATGTGGGATCAACACGTGGAGGGAATGCTTCATATACATCATACCACAGAGGACGGTCTTCGTAAGCTAACGCTCCTTTCTCTATCATTGCCTTAACTCTGAAAAAAAACACTTGAGAGCTAAGTTGTTTATTCTAACCTAGTGAAAATTGAAGCAAACTTCTCCTTTTTGCTGCCTAGCATCTCTGAACGCTCCTCAGAAAATGGAGGCTAAACGTATGAAGTGCCAGTCGCCGGACGTGATTGTAACCTCCAAAATGCAATTTCCAATTTCGCGCGAGTGAGGTGAAGCGGCAATTGTCGTTTTCTGATTGGTCAGTTAGATATAGTCTTTATAAAAGAATAAGCGGTATTTTCTAATTTTGGAAACGAAGAGGCATCTTTCTTGCGCTGAATAGAAGCGTTTTTTAACAATCAGCATTTGTAAAGCAACATTAAAATTTCCTTCAGATCGAATGTTGGAACAGTAAATTTGGTAGCTGAATTCATACAACTTGTGATGAACAAAAGCTTACAAACATGGCCAGAATGTGAAGCGTGCATTAAACTATTCGAAAATTTAAGTTGTTTAATTCATGGAGTCATCGTTAAATGCTAAAGGAAACTAACAGTCTGTGTAGGATTCGTGATTGTCGCCTAAATAGGGACAAGAACAGTAATGTAGACCCGGCATATAAGTGTCGGCATGCTGTTTTTCGTTGCCATGTTAGGCTGTGGAGAAAGCCATAAGGCAGTTAAGATCACAGAAAGTGCTGTGACAGAGGCTATAAAATATGCACTACAGATCTAAGTTCTTGGGTTGCCTATCCACCTTCCGACTTAAACTGAATTTTGGGCGTTATGAAGTTGTAGAACCTGTTAACACTACACAACCACCACTTGTCGTCAGAGCTGCTGATTTCTGTGTAACCACGTGTTCGAAGACTTAGTGGTGACGAGCAAATTAGGGTTCTACCGCTTACCGAACGTAATGCACCACCAAGTCAAATTATTGATACGGTTGACTTAGAGTCTGATAAGCTGAGGACGTTGGATGACCATATGAATTTCCGGGAACTGGTGCACCCCAGTAATGTACTATGTTTATTTCATGTGTTTCGGGATTCGTGACAGATTCACTGATTTCAGAAATCCGAAAGACAGGGTTGGTGTGGTACCTACTAGACAGAGATCGGAGAGTCAAGATGTTTAGTTTTGTAACTCAAGGAATGATTACAAAATGCAAGGAGTTGTCAGAAATCTTCCATGGAAACATACCGCAGGAAGGCCATTGAGGGAAATATAAGTTTGCACTACTGCATGCATTTTGATGCAAGTCCTTTGTTCTGTGTAATTACAGACGGACTACATGACCACTGATATGCTGCGTTCTGTGACGAACTACGCAGTATATTATGGCACATAGAGATATGAAAGTGGCTGGATCTACAGAGGCATACGTAGTCTTTCAAGAAGGGTAGAAGTGCTGCTTGGTTACAAATATGACTGCGAATGCTCCTGCTACACCAGCACTGTGATGCTTGTGTCCTGTCGTCATTTAATTCACATGTACAGACATCTGTTTCGTGATTTCGGTAAGTTTTCTGAGACGTTAACCAACTTCTTTGCAGATGTATTTCGCCACTCTACAAGATGGTTATGAAGCTATAACCACATACATATTGAACGTAACCAGGTCACTGTGGACATTTGAGAATCGCTGGTACTCGATGCAATGATGTACGAAATGCAGTAACTGCCCCAGTCAATCCCGGAAACGGCACGCAGACTATCGCTAGATACGTACACCAGAGCTCATGAGGAGCGCCACCAACAGGATCGATCTTCGGTAACCTCGCAGACTTCTGAATATCTACCGACTACTTGTGTATATATTGTTCCACCCCTTAAATAAACTTTCCACTTATTCCTTCTTTGTTGTTTATTGAAGCGGAAAATAGAATGGGTTATATTGATGCGGTTTGAAATGGGAGGATTTGTGTCACTGTATTATGACCAACAGGTATAGGCATTCAACTGACAACCAGTGTGTTATACTTTCCAGGCACGTCAACGGAAGTCTAATCAGTCAAGTAGTATAGCCGACCATCACATAGGTGAGGTTTCTTAACTAAGTAACTACTTCACTTCAGAGGTCATCAACTCATGAAAACTATCTACCACACGGAAAACAGCGTTTGCTTCACTTGTGTGGCATATATCCTTACGCACCATAGCATTTTCCTCTAAGTCTACTCTATTCTCGAGTAAACAACTGTCGCACCACTTCGAAATCATGAAGATATGCAGAGGGTCGATCGCCTACCATTTACGCTAGCCGTAGTTCAACTATGCAGCCTGATAACAATTAAAGAAGCACTAGCAAGTCCAGGAATTTATTTTCATAGAAGCAGCATACTTTAGGAATGCATGAGAGGGGAAATATGTGTATATACAAATATGAATAAACATAGGGCTAAAGTTTGGAGCAAACGTCCATTTCTATGCATACTAATCCTCGAAAACAGGCTTTACATACTTGCGTTGTATCAAAACCCACGACTACCTATTCAATCATCAATAAAAAAGAACTTATAAAGGTGGTATTAGTTTATTTCAAATCAAGAGTTGTGCGAAAACATGCCATTTTGATAGGCGATATCTGAATGTTACCGTTTCCAGTGACAAAATCTTAAAATAAATCATCACATCGTATACAGTCCACTAGAGTAGGCTGTGGTACTTCCTTCTATGTGCAAGATATTTCAGATGAAAACACTTGAGTGGTTCGGTCAGCATTACATTTCCTTCAGAATAAACTCGTGTAATTGTTTTTGTGGCGTCACACACTTCCCCAAAATCAGTAGTCTAGGACTCGGCTACATTCAGCATTGATGCTGACCTTGATAGTTCAACTGGACTCGCTAAGCCGAAGGCACCCAGTCAAGCATCCTCGACATTTGGCACGCTGTCGTGTTACGTTGCACTACTCGTAGTCAACTCTCTAGCCAGTTAGTTGAAGCGCATCGGCACATGCTACTCCATCCGACTGCACTATTGTGTTCTTTCTTGGTCTTGTATTCGTGGGTATATAACAAGTTCGAATAATTAGTGATTGGCCTTTACGCCTGTCAGGTTCGCTCAAGGGTAACTCCTAAGTTGGTGAGCATGATGTGACAGCAAATCCGGACCAATAACAGATCTTGGATTGCTGAGGCTGTTCCATTTTATACTCGTATATTGTTCTCATTTCGATAACCTTTAGATATCCAAGTACAACTCTTTCTGATATCCGACCACACTCCTAAGCTCATCGGTATTAAACCGACGACAAACACTATCCAGCTCATGCCACACTGGCCAGACAATGCCGAAACATGGTTTCTGTATCCCGGGGAAGATTTTCGAGAACGGGGAATCACAGGTCCTCATTCTGGATTTCTTGTTGTCATACGTTCACTACTGCGAGAATTTGACAGGCACGTTACAGCACATATGTTTATTCACGAAGTGAGTGATCCTTATGCACTTCTCAAAGCTGCACTACTGAAGAAGAAAGATCTCGCACATCACCAGCGCCTGGATGAGTTGCTTCGTGACACCGAGCTAGGCAGCCACTCAGCCACTGAAGTCCTCGAATGCATGTGGGAGGTTATGGGGACACGAACGTTCAGTAATGGTCTTTTCCGAGAACTGTTTCTCTTGAAACTACCACAACCGGTGCAAACCGTGTTGGTGACACTCCAGTCAATCCCACTGGATGACCTGGCAGCCTCAGTCGATAAAGAACTGGAGATCTCTAGCAGACCCGTCTCCAACGTATATTCCGTCCGCGATAAACCTGACGACCGGGATTCAGAGGTGACCTAGCTGTGCAACTCTGTTAAGCAGTTGCCAAGGGCTCGAAGCCCCAGGTTACGTAGCACTTCACAGAAGGGCATCTTAGCGCATCGCAGCAACTCGTGTGGTTGTCCAAAAACTAAGCCTGACTGGGTGGAAAACCCGAAATGGTGCTGGTTTAATAATAATTACGGAGATGAAGCCAGAAAATATCGGAAACCATGCAGTTTTAACAGGGACATAAACTGGGGAAACCGTCATGCCGGCATGTGTTCACTGCGACGGTAGTAGGCGGAAACAGCCGTTTGCTATACGTCACGGATATAAAAACGAAAGTTCGCAACCTCGTCGACACCGGCGCAGAAGTTAGCGTTCTTCCCGAACCGACAAACAACGTCATCATGACCCATCCTTCAACCTCCAAGCAGCTAGTGGCGAGGCGATCACGACGTTTAGGAGACGGTATGTCTTCCTCAACTTAGGTTTAAGTAAACCTAGCCCTCGTTGGAACCAAACAATCAGGCGACGCGTCCTACCAGACAGTGTCGGGGAAATACAAAGAGTTACAACAGCCGAAGCGTACTCTTCCGTGCATAACCAGCAATGTCATGCACCACGTGACAACCCCGGGTCCACTTCCGGTATCCAAAGCACGCCATCTTGCCCCTGATAGGCTCAAAGCGGCGAAAAGTGAATCCGACGGGATGCTCGAACTGGGCATTGACGAACCGCCAAACAGTCCCTAAACATCACCACTGCACATGGTTCCCTAGAAGGATAGCAGTGATTACCAACGGCTTAGCACCAAAACGACACCGGACTGCTACCCGATACCTCACGTTTACGACTTGACTGCGACGTTATGCGGAATGGACATTTTCACCAAAATAGATTTCGTCAGAGGGTACAATCAGATAACTATGGCAGCAGAAGTTATCGCGAAAACAGCCATTATTACTCTTTTTGGTTAGTTTGAATTCCTGAGCATGCCATTTGGTTTTCGGAATGCAGCACAGACATTCCAACGCTTTATGGATAACGTCTTCCGTTGTTTAAATTTTGTCCACGTCCGCATCGATGACTGTCTAATTGCGAGTCCAGATAAGGAAACTCACCTTAAACATTTGGACCTGGTGTTCAAAAGACTAAACAACTTGGAATCACACTCAAACTGCAGAAATGTGAGGTAGGAGTTTAATCACTCGGCTTCCATTGGGCACACCAATGACAACAAAGGTATACCCCCATTGAGAGATGAAGTGGCGGCTATCACAAACTATCCGGAGCTGACCACTGTGAAGCAGCTCCGCACTTTCAGTGGACTGGTAAGCTATTGCCGAAGCCTTATTCCCAACTGTGCCCCTGTCATGAGAACACTCGCAGATCTACTTCGAGAGACTGTGAAGTGCTTGACTTTGGACAACGTGGCTAGACTTGCTTTCACTAAAG